TGGAGACACCCTACCCTCCCTCTGCACCCCAAGCCTCCAGCTGGAATCCCACTCTGGGCTTCCCCCTCCTTTTTCCAGTGTCTCGAGTCCTGGGCCTTCCAAGTCTCTCCTCCATCACTCCTGCCCTCTGCCTCACCCACCTCAACTCTCCAGTTCACCCAGTGCCAGGGGAAGTGCCTCATGGGCATGGGGTGGGGGTGGGGCCGGCCGAGGAGAAGAGGGGGCCCCCTGGTCCACAGCCTCGGTTCCCCACCCAATTTGCTCTCCCTAGTATGAGGAACTGGGGGCCAACAAATGGCCCAGGACTCCCCCCCTCTCCGCCGGAGCCCCGCAGCCTTGGAAGTCCCACAGGCCCTCCCAGCCACCTAGCCCTGGGCTGCTCCTCCTGACACGGCAGGCAGTGGTCCAGGGTGGGCTGAGGAATTTCCAACTTTCTCTCGATAGATGTGGGCGGGTGCCAGTTTTCAGCTGAGAAGCGATGCTGCCCGCTCTGGAGTGATTCTGTGATCACACAGTACAGTAACAGCGCTCCACCCTCGGTGATTATTAAATTGAATCTGTGTAATCACGGTGTACAAATACAGATGCACACCCCTCCCACTAAGGGGCCAGCATGATTTGGGACGCTGGGGTCAAGCAAGGTGTGCTGACAGGGGGCCCATGGGGGCCCAGGACTCAGGCCAGACGCAGCCCTGTTGCCGGAGAGGCAGTGGGGTCCGCAGGGCAGGGGTTAGCAGGTGTGAAGGCTGCTCCCACCCAGGGTGCGGGGCCGTGTAGGGCAGAGGGGAGGTGTCCTGGGAGTCTGTGCAGCACTCAACACCAAGGGAGGGCCCCGGTGTGAGGAGGCCCTGGCCTGGGGGCTGTGTCCATTCCAGACCTGAGCCCATTTTGCCTGTGGCAGAGGATCTGCGGGCTCGTTCTGCACGTGGCAGCTGCTCCCTAAGGACCCCCTGGGCAGGTGGCCCCATCTGACGGGCAGGTGGCCCCATCTGACAGGCAGGGCCCGAGGCTGGAGGAGGCTGGGGTGCGGAGTCGGACACAGGTGAGGCCTGGCCGGGAGCCAGGTGTGGGCCACGGGCCATGCCTTTCCCACGTTCTCCTCTGGCCTAGAGGCCGCCAGGCGCTGGGGTGAGGCTGATACCCAGTCCCTGGGGCTGTCAGAGCACAGACCAGCCCATCTAGGCGGACGCAGATCCTCACAGAACAAGTGGATCCCGAAGGGCTGGGCCCGGCACCCACAGCACCTGAGTCCTGGCTGAGTGTCAGTGGCCCCCACTGGCTAGGGGCCGAGGGGGCGGGATCTTGCGGTGTGGAGGAGGCCAGGCGGTGTCTGGCTGGGGCCATCCTGGACTCCGCTGTGCTTGGGGTGTCTGGGGTCAGGGGTGACACTGTCCCCGTGTTCAGGCCACTACCTGACCCCACGGCCATGGGGCTCAGTGCAAGGCGCTCAAGGGACCGCCCATCAGGTTTGGGGTGCTGTTTTTATTCAGAAGCCACTGACACCCCCTACAACACACACATGAAAAGAATATTCGAGTCTGTTGAACAAATCTTGGGCATTCAAAACACACAGACAGACGCATGGGCAATGTTGACTAGGAAAAGCTGCTGGTGGGAGGGTGGCCCTCCTGACCTGGGGGACAGCAGGCCCCTGGAGCCTGACGGTCAGTACTGGCTGTTGTGCCAACAGGGAGTTGAGCAGAGGGGTGAGGGGTGGCGGGCCTGCTGGGGCCTCCCCTGGGCTGTTCGGGTCCTGTCCTGCCCAGCTGCCCTGACACTGGTCTTGCATCTCACCCCTGCAGTGACAGGAGCCACAGGCAGGTGCAGCCTCAAGAGCTCGGCAGGCCTCCAGAGGCCTGGGGGCGGGGTCAGGGCTGGGGGGGGTCAGGGCTGGGGGCGGGGTCAGGGTTGGTGGGGTCAGGGCTGGGGGTCAACGGTCAGGGGGGATCAGGGCTACAGGCAGGGTCAGGGCTGGGGGCGGGGTCAGGGCTGGGGGGGGTCAGGGCTATAGGCAGGCCTCCAGAGGCCTGGGGGCGGGGTCAGGGCTGGGGGGGGTCAGGGCTATAGGCAGGGTCAGGGCTGGGGGCGGGGTCAGGGTTGGTGGGGTCAGGGCTGGGGGTCAACGGTCAGGGGGGATCAGGGCTACAGGCAGGGTCAGGCCTGGGGGTGGGGTTAGGGCTGGGGGTGGGGTCAGGCCTAGGGGCAGGGTCAGGGTTGGTGGGGTCTGGGCTGGTGGCTTGGTGGTCTGTCACACCCGCCGGCCCCGGCAGGGGGCAGTGTGGCTCCAAGACAGCAGCGAGGCAGGTGGGGGAGGGGTAGCCAACTCCTTTGCCAGTCTTCAGGGCAGAGCTGGGAGGGGACGATGGCCCTTCCTGGCTGCTGTCCCCATGCTGGACATGCCTGCCCCCTCCAGGCCTGCCCAGCACCGTCACCCAGCGTGGATGCCTTGGTGACTTGCCCTTGCAGCCACCATGTGGGCAGGGATTAGGGAGGCCAAAGGCCAGGACCGTGCCAGGGAGGGCTATGGAGTTTGGCCCAGGCCTACCTCCCTTCCCTTGGCCCCAAGCACTGGGAGGGTGGGCAGCTCACCTGAGGTCTCACCTGGCATTGCCCCGAGGCCACCCCAGCCTGCCCGATGGTCAAAGGCGCAGGGTGGCTGGACTGGCAGGGGCTCCTGAGGTCGGCCCAGGCCCCAGCAAGGCTGAGGCTGAGGGGGGGCTGACCACAGAGACCGGGACCTGGGCCAGCACTGTCGGGGGAAGGGGACAGACTGTGGAGGTGGCCAGGCTCCTCCCAACGCTTATGCTATCACAGGGTCCACGAGCTTCAGGGCCCCCAGTCAGCATCCTCCAAAGATGAGCTGGGGCAGGGGCTCACGGCAGAGCAGCCCACACCCCAAGGCCCCAGGGTCCATGGAGGCCACATTTGGTGAGCCTGGCTGTCCCCTCGGGCAGTGCTGGAGCTCCCAGCTGCCTTGTGAGTCATGGGGGTGGGGGCTGTATTTGGCTGAACCCCAGAAGGGCAGGTGGGACACGGGTGGCCTTGTCCTGGCCTAGTCCAGAAAGCTGTGGTCCCAGAGACAGTGGCTGTCCAGCCCCCCACACCATGTGAACTCGCCACTCCCAGCAAATCCCACCTACAGGCAGGCCCGTCCCTACCCAGATCTGGTCGTCTGTTCTCTCCTCCTCTTCGTGGGTGTCTGGGTCCCTCCCTCAGTGCCCCACACCTCTGTGTCCTTCATCCCCATAACCCAACACTGACAGGAGGGAGGGAGGCAGGAGCAAGATGGGCTGGAGAGGGGAGGAGGGGCTCCGAGGGGGTTAGAAGGAGAAGGACACGGTGGGGTGGGGGTTAGAGGGGCCCTGGCTGTGTCTATAGCCCAGTGGCTGCTGCCTGGATGCACTCTAGGTCTCAGCCTCATCCCCAGTGGCCCTGAAGCTGGCCTGTGCCATGGGGCAGAGGCAGCCCCTGACCATCCAGCCTGGCTGCTGTAGCTGGGTGTTGCTCAGGCTGGAGGAGGCTGGAGACTGCTGGCTCCTGCCCACCAGCTTACTGTCCCTGCTATCCCATCTCTTGGGTGGCACCTGTGGAGGCTGGGCTGCCTCAGGAGTTGGCAGCACTCAGTTCTGATTCCCGGACAGGAGGAAATGGGGAAACGGGGTAAGAGGCCCTTTGAGCTTCTGGTCTTGTCATCAGAAGAGGCCAGCATTGCCCTGGGTCTTTTCCCACCTGGCCCTTTGTGGGGACCAGCTGGGGCTGGGAGAGGATGGTCCCATCTTCAGGAAGCTTCTGGAAGGATGGGCCACCTGGTGGCAGGTGCTTCTGGGCCAGGTCTGGGTGGCAGGGAGGGCAGAGGCCAGGGGATGTGTGCTGGACACGGAGGGCACCAGGTCCTCTCTGCCACCTCCCTGATCTTCCCAGCACAGCTGTGCTTGGCGCCCCTGCAATCAGCAGGTTAGCGGTCCCTGAGTCAGCCCAGGCAGCCCCGCCCTCCCCGCCTCCTCTACTCACAGGCCGAGGCTTTGTCTTTTAATCAGTATCAAGTGGACGGGAGACAGATTTGGGAGCAAAGAATCCCAAGTAGCCTTTAAACCACAGTAGTGACCATTCAGATTAAATCAGTTGCTGTCACAGAATCACAGCTGAAGCTGCTGGTCTCCCTGTGTTTCATCCCCGCTCCGGCCGCTGGTGGGAGAGGGGCTGATCTGAGGCTCCTCCGATGACCCCTCCAGGCTGGGAAGACAGGCTGGGCTGCCCAGGGCTCCGGAGCCACCACACATTCCTGCTGTCCTCTTTCTTTTCCAGACAGAGTGGACTTAGACCAGAGGAGCCCCAGAAAGACGCCTGTGCCCAGGATGGTTCAAAAACCATCAGACACATCGGGAGCCTCACCCAGAGCCAGGATTCCAGGCTGAGCAGCCACGCCCGGGGCAGGGCTGGAGGCTGGGCTGTGGCCCCAAGTCCCGGAGCAGCTGGGCGGTGTCCAGGGCATTGGTGTCCAGCGGGAGGCCCTACCAAGTGCTCAGGGTGTCCGAGGCTGGGCCCCTGGCTCCCTGCAGAGGCCCTTGCTCTTCTGGCCTCAGTTCCTGGCTTGCTCTCTGAACGTTGGCCCAGAGGCACACCTGTTCTGGAGCCCGTGCCTTTTTTTTTTTTTTCTCTGAGATGCAGTCTTGCTCCGTTGCCCAGGAGGGAGTGCAGCGGCGAGATCTCGGCTCGCTGGGACCTCTACTCCCCGGACTCTCCTGCCTCAGCCTCCTGAGTAGCTGGGATTACAAGCACAAACCACCATGCCCTGCTAATTTTTTCCCAGTTTTTAGTAGAGATGGGGTTTTGCCATGTTGGCCAGGCTGGTTTCGAACTCCTGACCTCATAATCCGCCTGCCTGGGCCCCCTAAAGTGCTGGGATTACAGGTGTGAGTCAGCGCGCCCGGCCAAGTACAGACTTTTCCTCACACACACACGGGGAGAGCTCGTCACACAGAGACACTGACGCAGACAACTAAAGAATATTGTTTATTAAAATGAAGTCCTTTGAGACAAGAAGTTGGAAAACGTTAGGAAATTTAGTGACTGTAAAACAAAAGCTAGTAAACAACATGAACTTGAGACTCGACAGGCCCTCCCAAGATGGCGGGAGGACTCCGCGGGGCCCTGGAGGATGGCCTTGGGGGATCCATGGAGTGAGAAGCTATCAACTTGGTTGGAAAAAAAACCTGCCGATTTTATAGTATTTTAAAACGTTGGCCGGGCGCGGTGGCTCATGCCTGTAATCCCAGCACTTTGGGAGGCAAGGTGAAGAGTTCAAGACCAGCCTGGCCAACATGGTGAAACCCTGTCTTTACTAAAAATACAAAAATAAAAAAACCTAGCTGGGTGTGGTGTCACGTGCCTGCAGTCCCAGCTACTCGGAGGTTGAGGCCGGAGAATCGCTTGAACCCAGGAAACAGAAGTTCCAGTGAGCCGAGATTGCGCCATTGCACTCCAGCCTGGGCAACAGATCGAGACTCCGTCTCAAAAAAAGAAGTGTTAGAGGTTAGCTGTGCACGGCTGTGACCCCAGATACTTTACAGGCTGAGGTGAGAGTCGTCTGAGCCCGGGAGTCCCAGGCCAGCTGGGTAACTGCAGAAAATAAAAATAAAAAGTCCCTCTTCAAAGTTTTCCTCTCAGTTCTTTATACATAAGAGCTTTTTAAGAAGTTAATTTACTCTAGACCCTTTGCAGACACTCCTGAATGGTTGTTAGTCTTAATAAAGAAATGTGTATCCAGCGTTCCTGGTTCTTAGAATTTAACCTAGACATTTGCCTGACATGCGTGTGGAGATCGTAGCTTGCCTCCCTTCCTTCTTTGGGGGTAGTTTTGCCCCTCTAAGTGACTCCCTCTGTTCCTTTGTTCTCCGCTGCCTTTACCTACTTAGAAAAGCCTTAAGTTGTGAGCCAACCGGGTGCAGCCTCCACTGAGGTCCAGTCCCAGCCCGTGGATCAGGACACACCAGCGGGGTGGATGTGTCAGATGTAAGTGGCCTTGCCGCCTTTGTTCCGTGTACTCTTGGGGCAAACTGCGGTTGACTGTACCCTTTCTGCAGAAGCGAAGCTGCCTTGCTGTGAGAAAATTTATATTTGGGTGCTACTTCTTTCCCGGCAATTAAAATTTACATATAACAGCAGCAAATGGAGGCCCTGTTGCTACAAATTAAGAAGAAAATTAGCTGGGGCTGGTGGCACATGCTCGCTGTCCCCGCTACTCAGGCTGAGGCAGGAGGTCAAGGCTGCAGCGAGCTACGACTGCACCACTGCACTGCAGCCTGGGCAACAGAGAAGGACCCTGTCTCAAAGCAAACGCCGACCCTGGCGGTGCCTGAGGCTGGGAAACCAGCGAGGGGGGTCCACGTCCTGCAGCAGGAGAGCTCAGGGCCCTGGAGGGCAGGGAGAGGACGGGGTGCCCACAGGAGTTCCTGAAGAAGACAGAGCACCTGCAGCTGAGACGCCGCAGATCTGGGGAGAGCACAGGCCCCGCTGAGTTCCCGACAGCAGAGAGACGAGGCGACTGGGTCAGCAGGTCTGAAAGCCAGGGCGGAATGTATGCAGGCTGTCACAACTGTCTCAGAAGTAGAAATCCTGAGTAAACCTCAGCCCTAAGGACACCGAATCGGCAATCAGACACCCCACTTCCTCCACAAAGAGGCCTTAGACGCCAATTTATCCACCTTCAAAATCCTAAATAAAATGTGGCTCCTGCATCCCCGGCACGAAGTGTGTCGAATACAGCTTTTCCAGTGTTGTAAAGGCACGTGGCCCACAGGGTTCTGGGACCCCTGAGCTGAGCCTCTGCCCGGGGCTGCCACTGAGGCCTCCGGAAACACTGGATAGGGCCGTCTCCACGCAGCCTGGGCTTCTTGGACGCATTAATTTACTGCAAACATTACAAAACAAAAAACCCTTTGATTTTCAGAGCTTTTGGGGTTTTGAAATTGGAAATAAGACTCCAAGGACCTGGAGCAACAGTCAGATTAAATACAATAATTCAGTCTCCACACGCGCACACACAACCAAGCAGGGTCCGTCCCAGGAACAGCAGGAAGTCCTCCAGGAGTTCATCCTAACGGAGCAAAGACGAAAAGGATCACCGACTTAGCAGAAACGGAGACATTTCCATAAAGTCTGCTGCTCACTCACGACAATCAGCAGTAGGCACAGCAGTAGGCTGAGGAAGCCCGCTGCCTACCGCTGGCCTCAAGGAAGCTTTGAAAAGGAACATTAAGCTGCTCTTGGAATTCAGATAGAAGGGTAAGGGCTGGGCGTGTGGCCGTGCCTGTGATGCACAGCACTGTGGGAGATGAGGTGGGGGGATCACTTGAGCCTCGGAGCCTGTCAACATGGGCCACCAGCCTGGGCCACATGGTGAAACCTGTTTCTACAAAAAATACAAAAATTACCCAAGCATGGCGGTGGGCGCCTGTAATTCCAGCTACTTGGGACGCTGGGGCAGGAGAATTGCTTGAACTGGGGAGGTGGAGGTTGCAGTGAGCCGAGGTCGTGTCACTGTGCTCCAGCCTGGGTAACAGAGCAAGATGCAGTCCAAAAAAAAGAGAGAAAAAAGAGGAAAGGACCAGGAACAGCTCAGACCGTGCTGTGGAGGAAACCAGAGGGGGTGCCCCGTCCTGCCAGACACCAAGTCCTCAGAGAAGCTATGGGAGGTGGGAGGAGCCCAGGGCAGCCTGGAGACAGGGACTTGGACCAGGCAGAGTTGGGAGCAGGGGGCAGTGCGGGGGGGAGAGAAGGGCGACTCGGTGAACGTGCTGGGGGGGACATCAGGGCTGCACTTCACACCACACACAAATGCATTTCCAGTGAATTAACGGCTTCAGTGAGAAAAGCTTTGTAACTTCTAGAAGAACTATGTGAAAACATATTTAAAAGCTTTGAGTAAGAAATGCTGTTTTTAGGACAAGATCCCAAAAACCCACACCATAAGAAAGCAGAGATTAATGCATTTGAATATATTGAAATTTAACAATTCTGCACATCGATCGATAGAACAAATGAAGCCAAAGGCCAGCCACATAACCCACGCACAATCACAAAAAATAGCGACCAGCCAACAGGAAATGGGCAGAGAACCAGAACAGGCGACTTGTGGACTAAGAAAACCAAACGGCCCAGAAACAGGGTGGAGACATCCCACCTCCAGCCATCAGGGAGATGCAAGTCAGAACCAGAAGATTCCACCTCACACAGCACCCAGGTGAGAACCGAGCGTCCGGCCGGGGCTGCAGGTGAGAACCGAGCGTCCAGCCGGGGCTGCAGGTGAGAACCCAGCGTCCGGCCGGGGCTGCAGGTGAGAACCGAGCGTCCGGCTGGGGCTGCAGACCTGTTGGTGAGACGGAGCATCACCCCCACCGTGCACACCCTCCTCGGACGGGATCAGTGAAAACTGAGCAAGTGGAAGACACCTGGGCCTATGGTGCAGTGACTGCACTCACAGGAATGTTTCCTGGAGAAATTCTTCCACTGTGCAAGATGCTGCACCTGCAGCCGACTGCGGCTTTGCTCCTGGAGAGGGAGCGTCCAACCGCTGGGGTCAGCGCACGCCCCACAGGGCCACCTGAGGACAACAAGGCCAGGGAGTCCACGTAGGAGCCGGAAATGTGCCTCACAGAGGACCCGAGCTCTATCAGACGTGCCGGCACCAAAACCTAGACCCACAACACCACGGAGGCATCAGAGCCCTGTGAGCAGCCAGCCTCGTGGACTGGGAAGGTGCCCACCTGGTGAGAGCCAGAGGCTCAGGAGGCCGGAGCGCTCAGGCTCCATGAACCTGGCGGGGAGGTGCATGGGGTTGGCCGTCATCTCTCTCCTGTCCTCGATGTTTAAAATGGCTTTAAAAAATGTTCTTAAGCAATATTAGATTTCACTGTCCTGGGGACAGCAGAAGCAGGACGTGAAGACATGGGCTTCCTGGCAGACTGGGAGGGGCTGTGGTCCCCGCCCAAGGATTAGAAGCTGTGAGTGACAGGCCTGCACCCACCTCCTCAAGCTCAGCCTGGGGCCAGCTCTGCACTCGGCCCTTGAGGCTGCCCTGATCCTGCTGTGGCTGTCACCAAATGCTGGGGCCTGGGGCAGCTGCACCTGGAGGGTGGTTCCGAGGCCATCTCTGTGTTGATGGACACGTGTGTCTGTGCGTGTATGTTTGTGCGTGCGTGCGCAGGGGACAGTCCATTCGGCTGGCATGGGGAAGAGGCGGCTGTTCCCATAGGAGTGGGAGTGCCGGGCAAAGACGCCACATGCTGCTGGCATTGCTGCTGTCTTAATGGGTTTGGCTGCGAGACTGGGGAGGGCTGGCAGGTGGAAATGAAGATTGATGACTCCGTGACCTGCAGCCATTCTGGAATAACTGAATGGTTGTGAGTGACCAGACTATCAATGGGGGACGAGTCCTGTGAGCTGATGACGAGGGGCTGCCGGGGTGGGCACTGGCTCATGCTTCAGGCAGGACCAGGGCTGTGGCTAGGGCCACCACTAGTGAAGGACGCCGGATGTGCCCCCCTCCCCACTGCACCGAGCCTGAGCCTGGGCCGCCCGACAGTACCCCCAAGTGGACACACGCACGTCCCCACAGGCAGGTTCGCGCCGGAGGCTGTAGGAAACCCAGTCACCGGCACACAAGGCGAGTCCGTCTCACTGCTCTGTGACGCGGCCGCGTGTGTGTGTGATGTGCTAGACACATGCTTGCCGATGTGGACTCACACACACGCCCATGTGTCCCACGGAGGCTGGGGCGGGGCCACAGGGAATGACGCTAGGAAGGGCGTCCCCAGAGAGGCCGCATCGCACCTGGCAGATGTACAACAGGGCAGCGGTGGAGCGTCCGGCCCAGGATGGTCAGAGCCTGGGGCCCTGCACCCACCCTGTGCTCCTGAGGCCCTGGGCCAGCTGGAAGCACAGTGGGTTTTGAAGATGTGCTCGCTGGCCTGCAGGCACCAAGCTCCACCCATCCCAGCCGGGACAGCCCTGGGGAGCCTGCTGGTCAGGGACTGAGGGCAAGACGAGGACACCCTGCTGAGCCTGAAGCCTGCCCAGGGAGCTGGACTAGGACCCTCTCATGCCCATGCACAAGCGCCCCTTATTCCTGTGTCGCAGACGAGGGCACAGGCCCTGAGTGGCCGAGGGACCCGTCGGGGGCAGGGCTGGCACTGACTGTCCCACTTTAAAGACTTGCCACAGCTTGGGACCCACGAAGGGAAGGTGAGGGGACGAAGGGCAGAGCTTGGCCCTGGGGCAAGGCCAGTGGCAGCACCAGGCTCCTGGACACAGCAGATGGCCCCAGGGAACCGGCCCCAGCCCCCCAGCTCAGCCTCCATCCAGTGAGACTGTGGACCAGTCGGCTGCTGGCCAAGGCCATGGGATACCCTCCTTGAGACTCCCAGGGTGAGGCTCAGCTCCTGATGGCTGAGTGGCCTCCGGAGGGCGCTCCCTCCCCATCCCACCACCTCTCCAGATCTGCCTGGCTCAATGCACGTCCATCCTGGGCCCTCCCGGCCCTGAGCCATGGCTGTGCCTGCCTGCCTGGACCTCTCCCTCCTGACTGGGTGTGTTCCGCAGACAGCAGCATCAGTGCTGCATGGAGGAGCTGCGGCCCAACGCCCACAGCACGCGCCACGTTCGTAAGCTGCACCCAGTCCAGCCTGGTGGCTCCTTGTGTGAGCTGGAGCTTGCGGCCAGTGCCACCAGAGGGGACAACCTGGGGCTTTGACCCCAAGCCCATGATCCCCACCGTCACCCTCAACTCACCTGCCTCAGCTGCTCATGTGCAAAGCTGGCTGAGCACTGCCTTCAGCGGGTGTGAGAACCCTGGGAAGGCACCTGCAGGGGTGTCTAGGCCGGGCGCGCGCCTTGAGGGTGCAGGTCACCCTGTGCTGTGTGTGTGTGTGGAACGGCAGCAGTACCCTCCGCCCACCCTCAGACCCCTTCCCTGCACCTGTGTGTGGCGCCTGCGGGTTTCCTGCTCAGCAAGAGGCAGATAGGCCCCACGCCACTACCATGCATGTCCATCCCTCGGCAACAGTGTGACCCCAAGCCTTGTTCATGGCTGTGCTGGCAGCTGGCAGGGAACGCCGTGGCCGCTGTGGTGACAGATCATGAGGTGCAGCTGCAGATGTGCATTCCCCAGTGACCTCGTCCCTCATGTGGCTGCTCACTGCGGCAGAGGCACGTGGGGCATGCTCCTTCATATTGACCCATTTGGTGAGCTGCTCCTCTGCCATGTTGCGTCTTTCATGTGTCAACACAGGGTCCACTTTACTCTCCCAGGCAGGAGAAGGTGGCACTGACCTCCTGCTCTGTAGCCAGGGAGGAGGGACAGAATTGATGCTCAGGGCCCATAAAGCCAGGCTCTGGGCCTTTGGGGAGTGAGAGTCTGGTCCAGCTCAGGAAGGTTCTGGAAGGGCCACTGAGAGCAGCCCCAACAGTGCACAAGGACCTCGCAATGAGAGGAGCCTAAGTGACTCCCACCCTGATGAGAGGCACTGCGAGTAGGAAGCCGCAGTCTGAGTGACTGCCCGGGCAGTGACCACTGGCCTGGCAGAGCACGGCCTGAAGACGGGGAGTCCCTGAGGGAAGGAGGGAGGGACCGGTGTGCACGTGTATATATACGCAGGCCTGTGTGCAATACATATGTGTGGTGTATGCAGGTGAGACACAGATACATGTGGCGCATGCAGGTGTGAGACATACATACATGTGGTCCACGCCCACCTGCACACATCTGTTACTGACAGTGGCCGGCAACCAGCTGCTGTCCTGCACAAGAACTTCCTCCCACCTCCCAGCAAACGAGCCCAGAAGCTTTGACGTGAGGGTCCGGGAGCTGCGGCTCCTCTGGGTCGGTGGTGCCCACAGTGCTTGCCTCGCTCCCTGCTGTGCCTGGCGCTGCTCCCTACCCTGGTGCCACAGGACAGAGTCCGGGTGGGAGGGAGCGTGGGTGTCCAGTCCCCACGAACAGGACTTGAAGGGAACAAAGCCCCCATTCCTCAGTCAGAGCTAGAAGGGCCCCGAGAGCAGCAGCCTCAATTCAGAGTGGGTAAACTGAAGTGAAGCAGG